CTGGCGAGGAAGAGTCGCAGCACCATTTTATAAGAAAACATTAACGAAAGTGTGTGCTAATAACTAACTTACGTAAACTTCAAAATGTGAAATGTCAAAACATACTAAAACATATATCAAGTTTTTAAGTTTTACTTTCACTTGAAAACTGCATTGCGGCAACATCTTAATTTTGATCGATGGTCGTTTTATAAAGACTTTTATTTACTATATATTTTTAAAATTTGTTTAATCGTTCATAGTGGCATAGCTTAGTGGTCAGCTCGCTGGCAGCTGACCTGAAGAGCCATGGTTCGAATCCTACCTATGGCATGTTTTCTTTTTAAATTCATTTTCGATTTTTCTAAAGTACGAAATAAAGATTATGTATAGAGATTATATACTTAACAAATGTAAAAATATTTTACACTTAAACAAACGAAAGGAAGAGAATTTTTAAAGAAAGCTTAAAAGTTCTAAAAACATCAAAAAACAGGAGAAATTTGTTGCGCTTAATTGTCATGTTATTTTAGTTTTACATTTACATTTCTCCAACTAAGTTGAGTTCGCGCAAGGAAAATGAGTATATAACATGTGTATATATAGAATATAAAATCTATAAAGTGCATTTAACAAAAAAAGCAAGCTGATGATTTGAACTTGCCACGCGGCGACCTGAATATTTAAAACAGTAAGGGGGTTTTAAAAATGTATTTTTATTAAAAAATATTTAAAATTTTTAAATTTAAGATAAATTATCTTATGAAATGAAATTTATTATTTTTTAAAATGAAAAAAAAGTTAAAACTATCGATATTTAGGTAATAAAAATATTTAGAGTTTTACAGCTAATTTACAACGCCCCTGTTAAATATTCTATACCGAGTGCGCAACAATGACAGAATTTAGAAAACCATCAAAATAGTATGATTCTCCGTATGTGATTGGAAGAGTCAACTTGAACACTTTAAACTGATCTGAACAAACTGCACGAGGCATTGCAAATGTTTACTCGGTAAGATTTTTGTATTTCTTGAAATGACATTGTATCTTCTATTATTGTTGTCATAAATGATATAATTATTGAATATACTTAAAAAAATAGCATGTATTTTTGCATCTGTTTTTAAAATTATGGAATTTTAAATTTCTAATGTTTTACTTAATGAAACATTCTGTTTTATAGGTGTTGTATTGATTCTTGACTGGCTGTTAATTTTATACAAGCTAAAGACGACCTTATTTTGAATATAAGTAAGTTTTTTTTTTATAATTAGTTTTATGTAATTTTATGTAAAATATTCAATCGTGTTTTATATGTATCTAAGTATTTAGTAAAGGAATATTTGCCAGTGTGACCGAGCGGACGACATTCTGAAATATCTATCGAGGTTTGAGTCCAATCGTTAGAACCTTCTCTTTTTTTTTTAAATTTTTTATTGGTTTTTTTAAAAATTCAAAAATAGAACACAATAAAAAGAGAACTATGAAATTGTTTTGTTTTGCTTTTTAATAATTAAAGCTTTCCGCGACAAACTTTTAAATATTGTTGTTTCTATTAAGAATATGAGTAAAAAATTTATTTTATATTTAAAATAAATCATTTTTTCCAACTTGGTTATTTTTAAAAATGATATAAAGTTAAAATAACCTAATCTTAAGATAATAAAAAAGTTTAAAGTTTCATATCTGCCCCCGTTAAACATTTTAAACCAAGTGCTCAACAATGACAATTCAGATAACTATCGAAATAGTATTATACTGTGTTTATAGTTTTGAAAGAGTCAGACCGCTATTAACTGGTTATGCACAAGGCATTTTAGATTTGCAAGCGGTAAGTTTTGTATTTCTTGAGATATCTTAGATTCTATTATCATATAAATGATATAATTGTTAAGTATGCTTTTATTTATATGTAGTATGTATTTGTTAATTTGTTTTTGAAGTTGCTAAAGATTTTAATGCTTTACTTAATGAAACAGTCTGTTTAGTAGGGGATGAATCTTGACAGGCTGTTAATTTTATAGAAGCTAATGTTGACCTTATTTTAAATATAAGTAAGTTGTTTTTTATTATTATTGGTTTTAAATAGTGTTAGATATTCAATCGTATTTTTTATGAATCTAATAATTTAGTAGAGTGTTATTGTCTGGAGGTGTTTGATATTCAGGTAAGATTTTATTAAGTTAATTTATTTTAAAAGAATCTTTTAAAATTTACTTATTAAAAATTTTACATTTGCGTTTTTTTCAATTCCAAATTTTGTTTCTATTTTTTTAATATTAAGTAAATTTTTGGTGAAAGATTCTGTTTCTGCATTAAACACTATCAAAATTTTAGTCAGTAGAACATGCAAAATATTGAAATGATTTGCTGCTGTGACTGTGTTTATGATTATCCACGGCAAGATGGTATTTTATTGTCAGTTAAGATTTTGTGAATACTTTAAACTGCAGTTAATCTTTTTTATGTATTATAAATTATTTTGTATTACAAACTTTTTAAATTTTGTTATTTTATTTCTTTAGTTCTACTTTGGTACTTTAGCAACTATCATAAGTTTACTTGGTCCACTGTTAAATATGGTTTTAACTAAGTAAATTTTAATTATTTAAAATTTACTTTGTTGATCATTAGCTAATAGTTTATAAAGAATTTAGTCTGTTGCCATCAAGGTAAAAATAATTTTGTGTTTCAGTCAAATTACAAAATTTGTTTGCACTTATAGCTTTTATGTTTCGTTATATTGTTTAATTGACTTTTTCATTAATTTTGTTATTAATTCCTTTTCATTTCAAATTTTGCCCGTTTTTAAAAATGCTATATAAAAATAGCAGCAGGCAAATTGGTTTGTAGTATTATTATATAAAGATTATTATATAAAGATGTTTTTAATTCTATCATATGATAATTTTTCATCGTAGATATATCTTACGATGCTTTTTCAGCATATTGCAGTTCGCGAGGCACATAAGTTGTGGGCCCGAATTTAGAGCAAAAGCTCGCTCTCCTCCGCCATTTTTTTTTCTTTTTCTTTCTTAATAAGGATCCTGTAAAAAATAAAATATGAGAAGGATCCTTAGTATGGATCCTGTAAAAAATAAAATATGAGAAGATAGCGGTGGGAAAATATTGCGCTATATCTTTAATTAGTATTTTTGTAGTTAGTTAATAATGCAGATGTAGTTGAATTTTTTTTTGTAAATAAAACTTTTATATATTTTGTTTCGTTATCATGTATAAATAAATTGATTTACAGTGGTGTTATTATTTCTTTTTTGAAAAAAACTTATTAGTTTGTGACATAGAATTGACTTGGTCGTTAAGTAGAATGCCTAGAATATATATGACGGTTATTGTTGATAAGGGTGATTAATAGGCAAGTAAAGTATAAACTAACTTTATATTGATTTTATTTGTAGACCTAATAAATAGGAAGATAACATAATTCAGGTAATTATTGTTTTCAGTTTTTCTCCCAATAGTTAATTAAAGTGTGATATCTTATATTAAAAAAATATGACCATTCGAGTAATTATGACGGTAATGTATATATTCAACATGTAAACTTCATGTTCTGTAATTAGTAATCAGTATTTTTATAAAGTAGATAATATAAATTTTTACAGATTTACTTTAACTTGAAAATTTCATCTCCTTATTTTATAGCATTTCATCTCCTTATTTTATAATTTCATCTCCTTATTTTATATGCCGTTTTATAAAGTTTAATAAGTCTTCTGTTTATGAAACAGTGTTAAAAGATAATACAGCATGCCAAAGTGGTTGAAATGCTTCGCTTGGGTTAAAATCCTTTAGCTTACACGCATAATTTTTTTAAATATTTTCCAAATTTCTAGAAAACAAAGTAAAACATTTTTAAAGGCCTATAGATATTATATGCATTACATTACATATATATAAAGATATTATATATTATAACAAACTAAAGGGAGAGAACTTTTTAAAACGCTGTGTAAAATTTCTAAAAACCTGAGAACACTGTTTGAAATTTGTTGCGCATATATCATGGTAGAGATACTTTAGTTTTGGATAAATTAGTTTAGTCTGCGCATTTAAGAGACAACTTTTTCTCTAATAGAAAAAAAGTTTTACATGCAAACTGAAATTTTCTTGAAAATTAACTGGGCAAGAGTCCTAACAAGTATCGGATGGTATGAAAAAAAAATTATAGTCTGAAACTTAATAAAAAAAAACTTAACACAAACAGAAAACCCAAAAATGCTAAAATTACGTCATAACTTTAGTTCCGCCAAATCCGGTAATAGGAATGCTCAAATATAAAATAGAAATATTAAATGATTTTTGTATTTCGATATATGCGCCAACTCTTAAACGACTGTAAAACTACTTTGCGGTTATCTAATTAAATCCACCAAATCCGATAATAAAAACAGCTCAATTAATAGATTTAAAAATCATCTGATTTTTGCATTATGATATGTGCGCCAACTGTACTCTAAAACCACTAAAACTTGGCCATGCTTTCTCTCATTCAAATCGATTATACAACAAGGAACTGCAAACTAAAATACAGCAAAGAACTACAAGTAAGTTTCATCTCTATCGTTTACAAGTTTACTTATTTTAATCATCCATTTAAAAAATTAATCTTAATTCGGAACTAATAAAGTTATTATGCTTTTGACACAAGAATAAACATTAAGATTATATTTTAGAAATGAGCAGCCAAAATACAGAAGGTTAGAGTATTCTTTTTATTTTATATAAAATTAATAAATTAAAGAGATAGAAAGAGATGATACGAAAATAATGTTGAAATA